CCACTTCCCTCCTCTTTGAAGAGGAGTCACATATCTGTGTTCAGGTTTTTGTACAGCCTCTGCTACACTTTGTATCACTGTGTGTCTACAGCACAGTAGTAGAGAGCTGTGTCTGCCAGGGTTAGCTCTCTGATGGTCAATGTAGTTGATGTATCTGATGTTTGGGATCCATATTTCTGTTTATCAGGAATATGTTCATCTGAGCCCCCTTTTCCTTCTTTCCAAAGTATAAACTGAGGAGCCTGAAGGTCAGATTGATGTTTGTACCAGAAAAGGTTTGCATAACCACTGGCTGTCTCATAGTTACATGAGAGTGTGACAGATTGTCCTTCTGTTTCACTGACTTCATCTTGTTCAGGAGAGATTGTGTCTCCAGCTATTGGTTCTAGAGGAACATCGTCATATTCATAATCCATAGATGTTGGTGTGACAGATTGTACTTCTGTTCCACTGTCTTCATCATATTTAGTAGAGATTGTGGTTTCAGCGAACAGTCCTGGAAAAAATAGAGAAACTGAAGCGATCAGACTCTCATTGTCCATGAGGCTGAGAGAAGACAGACAAAATGTCACCTGTACAGTGTTACTCTGTGGACATTCACAATGAAATCAATTATGAAACTCTGTCAGTTTATCTTACAAGATGATCAAAACATAATTTTCATTTTCTCAGAGCAACAATGAGGAAAAGTAGTGAAATACAGTCTGTATATGTGATTAATTCAGCAGGTCAAAGCAAATTTTGATCCCCGATCTGAAACTCACCTATTATGAAAGATGAAAAAAAAAACAGATAACGCAACATCGTTGGTGTTATTAAAGTCACACAGCAGATGAACAATGTTCTTCCACTGCAGCACAATGAGGAAGAAATAATGTCAGTGGATGAACTGAAGTTCACTGGGCGGGGTCATTGACATAATTTTTTTTAGTTCAGATCAGCCAATCAAAGTGTTTTGTGTTTCCACAGCACCTCTGTCCATGTCTCTGATCTTTACTGCTTCATTTCTCTGTTGTTCTTTGTCATCAGTCCAACAACTCAAAAATCAGTGTGTCTCCCTCTAGTGGATGTTGTGGAGTTTTCTCTTGTCTTTGCTCCAAAGGTTTTTGTACAGAGTTTTGCTGTTTCCTGTCACTGTGGGCCTCACAGCACAGTAGTACACAGCAGAGTCTGTCACTGCAGCAGAGGAGATCTTCAGAGTGATTTGGTTTTTATCACCACTCACTGTAGCAGACAGTGCAGATTTTGTTT